ATGAAGTCATGACTTATTCACTACTGTATTCCCAGTGCTGAGAACAATACCTGACACATAGTAGTTGCAGAGTAGATAATCACTGAGTGAATGAATGAATGGATGGATTCTGGGGACTGGGATTTATCTTTCTTCCTCTTGACAAGCCTGTCCTGCTCAGGGACTGGTTTGGCTAGAGCCAGCTAGATGACGTCTTGTCACTGTGCATGATGGATTAGGGGCTGGATTAACCCACCCCCTATGGTGGGAGAAAGGGAGGTGGGAACAAGCTCCTACATGAATCGAATCACAAAAATTTTGCTCTCCTTTGTAATCTATCTCAGGTGGACTACAGGGAGCCCTAGACTTTGTAGATGCTAATTTGTGTTATCTTGTTTTTCCTCTGCTTGGCTATGATTTTGAACCTTACTGACTTGACTGGCAGCCTTGTGTTCCCGGGGTTGGCCCGAGTTTATAGACTGCTCTGTCGACCGGGAGCAGGTGCTGTTGAGTCCTTGGCCACTGGCCATCTGACCTTACGTTGATGCCTAAGAAATGGCTCAAGAGAAGTTAGAATTGTCTGAGCTGAATTGCAACTAAGGAATGAATAAAGAAACTTCTAGTTTAGCTTGAAGAGGAAAACGCTTAGTGAGTTCATGAGAGTTTTCACCTCTTTGAAGGGTTGTGGTGTAAGGGGAATTAGACTTGCGTTTCTCTTGAGAGCTGAAGTAGCACCCCTGGAGGAAGTTACTCAGACAGGGATCACAGCTTAACGAAAACTCTGGGGACCAAAACTGTCTGCCCAAAGGCACGTGAGCAAAGTGCAGATGCCTGTCCAGCTGGGGTGCCATAGAAGCGGGTTCCTGCTGAGTATGGAGTTGCAGTATCTCGCTTTAATTACCTTTTTTAATCCTACATTCTATTAGTTCAGTGCTCTTATCCATAAAATAAGTTTGAACTCCTAAAGACTGTGTCACTGTCTTAGGTCACAGAGATCAAATTGAAAAGCTCTTCTTTTGGCCAGGTATATCTGTCCTTTAAGTTAAAAAAATAAAAAAGAAGAAGAAAAACAAACATTTTCCTAAAGCTCATTTGGTTTTCTTCCTGGTTAGGTAAGGTGGGCCTGGGGTCCTGGGGAGGCTGGGAGGGGAGAATTCACGTCAAGGCTGTGTCATTAGTGTGTGTCGTTTCCAGCTTTCGTATTTGAATATCTGAGAGCCTCTGTGAGTGGCAGTGGTTCTAATTACAGAACTTCAGAGCAAACTCCATTTGTCTCTTTTCTCCAAAGGAAAAAACAAGGTGGGCTCTGGGGGAGAAATGGACGTGCATGGCCCAGCCAGTGAAGCTGGATTATACCTGCCCCCTCAGAAGAAAGCATGTCTGGCTCACTTCAGTACAGAGGTTGGCAACGTCGAGCTGCACTATCCAGGGAAAAGCAAAAAACCCTTGAAGCCCCGGTCCATCCAGAAGTCGTGGTTTGCCCAGTTCCCGTGGTTGGCCATGAACGAGGAGCGGAGTGCTCTGTTCTGCTCTGCTTGCCGGGAATACCCATCTGACAGGGACAAAAGGTCAAGATTAATAGAAGGTTACACAGGGCCATTCAAGGTGGAAACTCTCAAATACCACGCCAAGAGCAAAGCCCACATATTCTCCATCAGTGCCTTGGCCTCCCGGGACCCCGTCTGGGCCGCCCGTTTCCGAGGTGTGTCTCGAGATGTCCTGCCCAGCTCCGCGCACCTCCTCAATACAGATTATCCTGTAATGTACCCCCAAGGGCCTCTGGGAGCCTATGACAACATGGCGCAGCTCCTGCCCAGCTCGAGAGTGAAACTGGGGATCCCTGGAGTAAACAGAGCAAACACTGCATTGTATCTGGACCGCATGTCCAATTTGAGGCACAAGGAAAGTGCTGGTGATGCCCACAGGTCCTCCAATGCGCACATTTTGTGTAATGACTCTGCTGAATTCTGTGGCCAGGTAGTATGTTTATAATGATTGCTGTATCTCAAGTGGAAGGATTCCATATTGCCAACATGTGTTGCATGACGATGATGGGAAAATTATATTAGCCATTCCTGCTGCTAAAATTATAATATTCTCATAAGCTAACATGCCTTTAATGTACTAGACATTGTTTTAAGTGCCTTACATGTATTATCTCATTTGTTTACAACAGCAACACTATTATTATCATCTCCTTTTTGCAGATAACCAAACATAATTGGTAGGATGGAACATACTAGCTTCTGATACAAAGAGAACACCTGAATTCAGAGCAGTACTATTTATCTAGGATTCAAAACAACCACAGGTCAATAAATAATCCACAACCACAAAACAGCCCCAGAGCTCCTAATCAAATTTTTAAAAATTTCAGCTCTAATGTTAGAATCATGTAGCCCACTTAAACACTGCAAAGTTTCTTCATACACATTCTCTTATGTAATGTTTTTAATGTTGCTCTGAGTATGACGGAAAAAGCATGATAAGACTCATCTTGTTAGAGAAAACGGAGGCTCGAAGGTAGTGACTTGTCCAGAGTCCATGCTCTCGTGGCAGTGACCACCCCCAAGGCAGCCCAGTGCTGCCCCCCATTCCCTGCAGCACTGGCGGGGATACCCTAAAATATCCTAAAGCTCTGGTTTTCACCTGAGGGTTGTTTTGTAAGCTTGTGATTCTTTGGAAAGCTGACCTCTAAGAAAACTGTGTTAACTGGAATCTTAGAATAACTAGATCCTTCTGCATTTCTCAATGATTCTATAAAATCAGGGTTTTACTTGAGTACCCCCTCTAGTATAACACCAAGGGCCCAGCTAAAGTTAGTAAGCTCAGATTTTTCCAGAATCCAGAAAAGCAGCAAAGCTCATTTTTCTTTGTGTTCACGTTCCTTCTGGTTTTTAGTATTGGAAGCTAATGAACTGGTCTAACCTTTTATAATCTGGATTCCTTTAGCACTAAGGTAAACCTAGCCTCGCTGCTGAGTATAAGCATCTTTACCTCTTTTCTGCTTCTTTCTCCCATCCCGGTGGGAAATCTTAGCAGGTGCTCCTGCAGACAGATGGTTACCTTTGTAGTCTGGGGTGAGTGGAAGGCCCCCCTTAGGACCGTGAGGACAGGGCACAGTCATAGCCTCTTCAGGAGCCCTGTTCTTTAGCGCATTTTTATTTCCTCCCAGGAGACCCTAGGATGGACTGAGGCCTCATTTAGTTTTTACCCACTGACTCGGGGCTCATGAATTTGCTTCTTTGACTTTCGGTGGATAATTCACTTTCTCAGAGTACATCTGGGCCTCTTGGTAAGCTTCCCAGGAGAGATGGGCCTTGAGAAGCCCCCAAAAGTGTTGCACTGGGGTCTGACCTAAGAGGCGAGTTGAATGACTGCTGCTCTTTGTTGCAGGATCCTCCGGAGGAGGGGCGGTTTGAGGAGGTCCCTGTGGTGTTTGAGGATGTGGCGGTGTATTTCACTCGGGAGGAGTGGGGCATGCTAGACAAGCGGCACAAGGAGCTGTACAGAGACGTGATGCGGATGAATTATGAGCTGTTGGCATCCCTGGGTAAAGACTCATGTAGACTTGTTTGCCACCCTCATTTGACAAGGGAAACCCACAACAGCTGCGGCTCGGGGTCCTCCTGGCATTTCCGCCCGTCGCTGTGCAGACAGTGTTCTGTCTTCTGCACTGCAGGGCCCCCTGCTTTGGGGTACTGCACTCTTTCCCCTCATCACCCACCCACCCACCCTCCATCCTCCACCAAACATTTCTTGACTGCCTACTATTTGCCAGACAAACAGGAATGAGGCAGGTCCCTGCCTTGAGGGGGCGGCTGGTTTGTAGGAGAGACAGACACTTGAATAAGAAACTATAAAATCCAGAAGCTCCACAAAACAGGCTCCACTCTGGGGCTGCCAAAGAAGGGTTATTTAGTTTTACCCGGCATGGGAAGGGGCATCAGGGACCTCATTACAGAGCCTGAAGTGTTTTCACTAGTGGAACCTGGGTGGACAGGGAGGAGGAAGGGCATCTAGACATGGCAGGGAGAAGACAGCACAAGCAGAGGCCTGGGCGTGAGAAAAGGCCTCCTGGTGGGTGCCACCCTCCACTTGGACTGTGTCAGGGCTGTTCCACCTTCCCCAGGCCGGTAGGGGTTGGTGGCATCGGCCTAGTGTCACGTGATGGGGACTGTAGAATGATGAGCGCAGCAGCGTTCACACCTTCTCCAGAGGGTGGTCTCTCCTGCAGCTGCTTCCTGGTCTTCTCTGCCTCCGTTTCCCTGGGCATCCATGGTGCTCATGTGGCATTGAAATGGAAAGCCAACTGTTCATCTTATCAAGGTCTTCCTTTTTTTTTTACTACCATATATTGTAACAGAAACTGTGCATACCAGGCTGCTGTGCCTAAATTAGGAATTTGCAGTGGCCTGTGTCGTGGCGCCTACAGAATAAGGAGGAGGAATATATGTGACTCAGTTGATGCCGTACCCCCAGCTTTACACTGCTCTCTCAAGTACGGCTAATAGGCATGATTTCCTGAACATTCTTGACTTGTCTTTATCATTGTCCATAATTTTTGAATGGCTACCCAAACGTTCGGAAATAACATAAAGAATTGTTCCTTTTGTGATGATAGGGGTGTTGTGATCATGTCCTGGACCCAGGGCTGTTGAATGCGGTGCACCTTCATAGAGCATTACTGCCACCAACAGGGTTTAAGGCAGTGAGGACGGGGGGAAATTCATTTTTAAGACATACACGCCACCAACTTACAGGCAGTTGGTTTTCACGTTAGAGGAATGAGCAGTAGTGATGCCCTCTGCCCTTTGGACTTCATGGGAAGCGTGGTGAAGGCAGTGGGTAACCTGTATTGACAGCAGCTCCGCCTCCGTGGGAGATGCAGCCTAGCAGAGTCTGATCTCAGAATTTCATAATTTTCTTTCTAACTTATGTAAGTTAGGAAGTGGGGAAATCTTAGCTAGCTGGGAGGGATAAGGGACGGTCCAGTCTTGGTTAAGTTTGTTTGGGTGAGCAACAAGTATAATCAGAGGAAGGCTAATTAATCTTGCTTAGGCATTGTGGGCAGGAATCAGGGCAGGCTTTATAAATAACGGGGCTTTCCTTTTCAGTTGTCTGCAAAATTAAAGCAGGACAGGAGTCAGAAATAGAATTACATGTCGGTGAGTCCTTCTCATCATTTTAATTAGGTCTTCAACTATTATCCTTTAACTGTCCTCTAATTTAGACAGTTTTTCATGTTTAAGATACAAAAGCATTTGCCTTGAGAATGTAGCCAGGGCCAAACATAAATGATTTGTATGTTTAAAAATGACCTTTGAAAGAGCATCACACTGATAATTGGCATATAAAACGGTGTGGAGATGTAGTGGAGACTCTCTAATAATTATTTTTGCTTTGTCTAAGTTTCTTTTTTCTCCATACTTTATCCTCCTGTGACAAGTACAGTTGACACTTGAACAATGTGGGGATTAGAGGCACTGAATCCCCATGCAGTTGAAAATCTGTGTATAACTTTTGATTCCCCCCAAATTTAATGACAGTCTACTGTTGACTTATGGTAGTAGATGATAAAATAGACTATTATCTATATATGTTTTATGCATTCATAACACACCTTTTTCTTAATTTTTTCAATATTTCTAGGCCATATGTTTGACATTTTTTTCAAATTGTTGCAATTGCCAAAAAATTTTCTTATATATGTATTGAAAAAAATCTGCATGTAAGTGAAAACATGCAGTTCAAACATATATTGTTCAGGGGTCAACTGTACTTTCAGATTTGAAAACCAAATATTATTTGGCATTATCTTTTAATTATTTTTTGTAAATAGAACACAAGTAGAACTTCTCTTTGGAGAGAACTCAATTTTTGAAAAAGAAAAATTCCATCCTAATTTTTGCAGCCAAGAAAATTTCTATTGTCCTTTTAAAAAAATCTCCCATCCATTTTTAGTGTTTTTTTTAAGTTTTATCTTAAAATACCACGACCTGCTTATCCTGGGTATTACAGGAAGCCTTTATGTTTTTCTTTTATTCTTATGTCTAGAAATACTAATAGTGGCTTTTGCTGTTGACTGAACATTTCTAAGACCTGGTCCTGTGTTGAGTCTCTTAAATATATTCTCTCTAATCCTTAAACCAAGCCTGTAAGGCAGTTAGGAGTAGTATTTTCACATGAGAAAACAGCCGTGGGAGTTCAAGCCATTTAACTGGAAAATAACTAAACTGAAACTCTTATTAATCTGTCCATTGCATATACGTTTGACTCAGGTAAAATTCCTGCATGTATTTGTTTATTACCAGTTGGACTTCATTTCTGTGTGTTTCACGATTTGTGCTAATCATGTTGTTAATACTAAAATAATAATAGCACCAAGCGGAAAAATTCAAACAGTGTAAGAATTTTTAAAAAGTCTCAACTCCCATCCCCAGTCCCCTTTGCAGGAGGGTTGGTAGTTTGGTCTGGGTCTTTCAGACCTTCTCTGTAGGGCACCGTTAGTTCTCTCACCTGAGAACTGAGGTGGACAAGGGGGCCTCTGCCACAGGTGAGGATGGCTCAGGTGAGGTCAGGGGTCTTGTGGGCTGGTCACCAGGATTCATTGCAGCACATTTGTGCTGTTGATTTTCTTCTGCTCTTATCTTTTGAGGAAACCCAGCTAATGCTTCCATTGCACTTATTAGGGTTTACAACTAGTAGATTTGTTCTTTTAGATTTTATAATTATCATACCCGTTTTTAAAAAGACAGTCTCAATTTCATGTAGTTGACTTTAATATCAATTTATGTCAGTTGTTTGCAGTTAAATTGCATAGACTGAAGCTTTTCAGCAGGTGGTTTGTTTCTAGGTTAGGTCCACTCACCTGTCACCTATCACCCCCTCCTTAGCCTCACCAGCTGTCTTATCTGTAGGACTGGCCTTGTAGAGGACAGTCATTTTGATTATGGAGAAAAGAGGAGGTTTGTGTTTTGCCTGTAATGCTTTCCTATTTCAACCTTTACTTTTGTGGACTTGTTCATTTAGAATAATTTAATTTATCACTCTGCAGAGTTTCCAACTGTTCTTTTATTTCTATACTTTAAATTCAAGTTTCAGGTTTTGGCTGTATTTGATCATGTCTCTTGCTTCTCCCCAAAAAGGAAAATTCAATTAGATTTGACTGTTAAGAAACTAATACTTGACAGTAACAAAAGTAGTCATGCCAATACAGGGACTATGTGGTAGCCCTTGTTTTTATTAGTAAAAGTGTCATTGTCTGCTAAGTGGCAGGTCACTCCAAGTAGGCAGTGCCTTTTCTACAGGTGAGGTCATCAACTGCAGCTAGACCTCCCATACCTGGGGAGGAAGTTGTGTCACTAACTGGAAGCCAAAATGGAGAGGACCCTCAATGAGATGAACAGAAGTTAGAATGGCTCATGTGATGTCTGAGCCGCCAGCTGCTGTCTGGTGGGTCATTGGATACAGCTTCCAAGTCCGGGCAGTGCAGGAGCTAGAGAGAGAAGAACAGAGGCAGGGCGACAGAGCAGCTGTCTCCAAGCTGATTTACATGTAGGGCATGCCAACCTTGGGATGAAGTTAGCACAGAAGGGTTGGAAATCTGCCTTAGTGAGCCAGACAGTTTTTATGGACTTTTATGGAATATGGGTGTTTGTGTGTGTGTGCATGCATGCACTTGCTATACTTATGTTCCCTTAGCCATTTTTCTATTACATAGAAAAATCTATTAAAAAATTCCATTCTGTCTCACTTGCTCTGAAAGGAACAAAAAGAAAAGGTTTTGGCAACCTTTCACCCACAACTTCAAAGAGGTCCGATTGGGGTATAATACTCCTGGGGCCAGTAGCGTGGTGTCACGGGCAGTCAAAGTGGGTAGTCCCCAGAGGGGTTATAGCTGAGGCAGACAGATTCAGGGATATTCAGTCTGTTGTGTGTTTTCACTTAGTCTTTCAAAATATTTCTTCATAATTATTATTATTTTTATCAAAGTGATTCTGACAAGACTTATGACAAAAAAATGACAGGCCCCACCCCACCTTCCTTTATTTGAGTCCTCCTCCCCAAAATCTTTCAGCTGTTTCTTCTAGTAATTTGCCTCATTATTTCTCAGAAATACATGTAGATATTATTTTTAGAAGTAAACCTCAGTAGGATGCACTTATAAAACAACTTCACTCTTTTCCATCGCCTCTTGTTTGGATCAGCTGTGTAGGGCTTTTCTTTCTTATCCTTTGGGTTGTCAAAAGAAAATTCAGAGAGCCTTATTTGGTATGAATATTTATTGAGCAAGAAACAAACAGGCCTATCCAAAATGGTTAAGGGTTTGGCTCTCAGCAGTTAAAGCTCAGTTTATAAAGTATGAAAGAGAGAGTACATTTGCTTGTTTTTTTAAGTTGTGATTGTTACTAAAAATCTACATTCTTTTTAGGGTAGTAGCATTGTGTAAGTGCTCTTGTCTGTAGTTAGGAAGCTGTAAGGTCACACTGACATGAAGAAAGTTTTAAGTTTTGTTTAAGGACAGTTAGCATTTCAGAGAAATCAGGGCAG